CCCTATTCAACCACTGCTAAATGTTAATGTATTGTTTAGCTCGAGGAACTAAAATGAATCCACAGTGTTCAGTTTAGGGAAAGGAGGGCAGCATTGTGAAACCTTATCTTTTTGTTTCCATCCTTTTCTCATCCTACATTCCTAACAGACAAAAAAAATCCTGTTGAGGAAACGTGTTTGGAAGCATGACGTTCAAACTGTGACAAGGCCATGCAGATGAGCCCCAGCTGCACGGACGGAGACAACCCTGTGAAAGAGCTTGACACTGGCAGCTCTGTCACCTCCAGACAGTAGAGCAAGGGTCAATATTCGTCCTTTGATAATATGATAACAAACGCTGAAAGCAATAATCACCTGGTTTTTCACCAGATTTGGGCCTCTGCAAACATTTTTCGTAAACAACAAGGCTGAAGTAGCCAAAATGTCCTCAGTCGTACTGTGTGAAAGATTAATGTTCAGCATTTTGCATACGCTGCCATTTGCTCTGAACAACTGGGAACATCCAAAGTGTTCACTCTGCAGCTTGCAGTAAGTTATTCTCAATACAGAATCTTTGCTCTGGGTTACTTTGACAATATGCATAAACATGTATTAAATCCCATATTAGGTAAGCAATATAAAAAAAATGTGCTTTATGTAACCCAACTATAAATCTAGAACCAGCACGTAATCCTCAACTTTACCTCTGATGTAATGGGGCTTTCTTCCTGATCACTGCTATTAACCACTGAAGATATTAGGAATTGTTAAACTCATAGAAAATGCATTGCGATAATACATTTTTTCTTGGGCTGGTACCAAGTTTCCATCCAAATCTAGAGTAAATTTTAATAATCTAATAGCTTGTGACCTTTAGCAGCAGTATCTTGAATTAGTTTTTCTTATGGCTTTATGAGTCTCTCACATCATTGTGTAGGAATTTGATCCCACTTTTCATCACGTTTCTCAATTTTTTATTTTTTATTTTTAGGTTTGCAGACATTCGTAGCACAGCCCTCTTAAGGTCCAGTCACAGCTATTCTGTTGTAGATTTGCTGGAGTGCTTGGGGTCATTGTTATATTGCGTGACCCAATTTGGGCCAAGCTTTAGCTGTCAGACAGACGGCCTCATATTTGACTCTTCGTGGTCATGGACTCTTCATGGAGTTCATGGTCAGTTCAATCAATGAAAGGCACTCATGTTCTGTTGCTGGAAAATAAAGCCAAATTCATTACCCCTCCATCAACTTGCTTGGCAGTTGGTGTGATGAATTTGTGCTGATTTGCTGTGTTTCGTTTTCACTCTGCAAGCTTCTCCTTGGTCTCTTCTGCCCAAAGGACAGGGTGTCTTGTGGTTTGTTCAGTTGTAGCTTTCCAAATCTAAGTTGTGCTGTTCTTTTTTCTTTTCCTTTTTTTCTTCAGAAAGAGAAAGCCTTTTTCCTGGCAACCCTTCCAAACCCTTCCTACAGTCTGTTTCTAATAGTACTCTCATGGACTTTAACATTTAGCTTACTAACTGAGGCCTTTAAAGTTTCAGTTGCAGCTCTTGGATTGTGTTTGTGCAGTTTCTCTGAGCATTGCACAATGTGTCCTCTGTGAATTTGCTGGGACGTTTAGTCAAGGAAAGATTGTACCATATATAAGGTTAGGGTGTCTTCATTTTCTTCTGTCGGAGACCATGTTGGATTGGGAAACCGTTGCATCATATCAGACAATTACAGAAATTAATTACAGAAAAATTACAATTTAATTTTTTGTTTTTAAAAGACATGAAATAAATGAAACACACACGCTGCACACAGGCCTACTTGCTGCTCTCAGGCATACATGATTTCTTTCATAAGTTTCGTTGACAAAGAAACAAATAACAGTTATGCTCACAGAAGGGGACCCTGTACCTTTTTCCAGAATTTATAA